GCCATAAAATGCAGTAGGAGTGAGAGAGATAAGTATAAAAAGAAATAAAAGAGGTACAACTAGATGTCTGTGTGGTGCGCGAGCAAACACAGATGTAGAAGAAAGAAAAGAGAGATGATATTGGCGAAGGGAAGGGTTTTGAATCGTATACAGTGATATTAGCTTGGCTGAGGCGTTGCTGTGTTGAGTATATTGAAGAGAGAGAGAGAGAAAGAGAGAGAGAGAGAGAGAGAGAGAGAGAGAGAGAGAGAGAGAAAGAGGTAAAGCTATTTCTGCGAGCCTGTGGGAATTAATGGGCGAGGGTTAGAGAAGCTGTGGTATCTGTAGGTGGTATAACGGAGCATAGTGAGAGAATATATATATATACATGGGACTACATGTGTGAGTTGGATGAGAGTCTATGGACTAAAAGATGAAAGTATACATTTAACCGGGTACGGGAGGGTCTGCGCCAGCAGTCGCTTGTAAGCTAAATACAAGAGGCCTTTTTGTGTGTGTGTACGCGTGTGTAGGTGCGTGCATCGGGGAGAGCGCAACATCATTAATGACTCTTTCGTGTTCCGAACTCCAGCTACCACGAGATTATTTTGTTCTCTTTGTTTAATTTTATTAATTTCATTTTAAGGATATTTCACCAATAATGAGATTATGCTCGTTTCTCGAATAATACAGTACATTGTGTACGAGGTGTATTTACATATTTTATGAATTTCTTTTCATTACCCTTTGATTGGATTTTTACAATTTTTTTTACTTAAAATTTAATTTGCTTCTTAGTCCCGTATACAATAGGAATATCAACTAGCTAATGTTTGTTTAAATAATATTATCAATAAACACTTACTATAATAAACTTAAAATAAAAACGCCAAAAACTTTCATAATTAATATATTTTTTTAATTATTCTTTCCCTTAGAGCAATCATATTATGAAAAATGCAAAATGTAATAACACGTTTGAAATTAGAATGGATTAATAATATTTCGAAGCAAAAGTAATGATTCAATGGTGAAACAAAATAATATATATACATATATCATGATAGAAATAAAATAATAATATTTGTTTAAAACCCCTAATTTTCTCTCTCTTCAACATTTTATGTGTAGATAATTATATATATTTTAATCAGTTTGCATTTAAAATAATTAAAATTCTTAGTTTTCTTATAATAATTTTCTAACTAAAACAAGGTTCCATGTAATTTTTGTTTTCGTAATGAGCCAACAATTTTATTTTATTTTTAATTTACTCGTGACACTATTTTCTATTATTTTAGAAAATATTGTCTACCCAACTGTTACATTTAAAAAATTTGGTCATTAATTTTGGTATATTTTAATTTAAAATTTTATTTTACAAGTATAAATTTAATTTAATTTTAATTCTTGTTAATTAAAAGTATAATCAGCGATCCTCCGTTCTATATTACAATGTAATTTTGTAAATTCTGTGATATTTTCTAAATACATTCGACAAAACTTAATAACAATTTGTTATTTTTTTTATTATAATAAATTGTCTAATCATTACCGTGTTTATTACAATTTTTATAATAAATTATGAAATCATTTATTAAAAAACTATTTTCGAACAAATCAATTTTTAATCGTATATATTAAACTGATATATGTATCGTTTTTAACAAGTATAATTTTATAAAATGCGGAACATTTTAATATTTACAAATAAAGGAATATATATATATATATATATATATATATATATAATAAAAAGATTATTTAAAAACTTTTGTTCTTAATACAATACATTAATGACGATAAATTCTTGTTAAATTACATAGTTGTAAATTGAAATGAATAAATTTCTGTCTGCGATTTTAGTTAATTGTCGGTAATATGGTGAATATCTATGTATATTATTTGTATGAATGGTGTTACTCTTTTCATCACTTATTTCCATGAAACTGATTTTCTAACAGAATTATAAGCATTCATTCATTGTTATTTATCATTTAATTACATGCCGTTCGCAAAGACACAATATTCCATTGTGGTAAAGTGGCACACTACCATGATACGTCCGATAAACTAACGTAAAATATCTAGCGACGTTACGTACTTTAAGCATAACTCATTGCCATTCGCTTTTTTTATCGTAAAATCATAAAAGTTTCTCTTGCAAGAATAAAAATTTATTTGTATTTTGCAATTTATTTTTCATAATACATTTATTCAATTAAACTAATTCGTAAAAATAAAAACATGTAATAGTAGCTTAAAATTTTATTGATTAGCTCAATAGAATACATCGATTTAAATATATTTTTCGCGAGCACGTAACGATTAGTTTACAAACAAATATTCTTATAACTTGTAATTATTACAATGGTTTAAAAGATATCTCGATTAAAAATATTAAAATATTTAAAATAAATAACATAACATAAATGAAAGATAAAGATAATTAAATGATTGTGGATTTTTATTGCAAGTGAAATAATGTTTATTTGTTTCTTATAACCAGTACTAATAGTTATAAAACTTTTAACAAAAATTTTTCTAAAAACTTTTTAATAATAACCATTGATATAATTCAATTCAGCCATTACCTTTCAAGTGATTATATTGAAAACACAATTTATTACTTTGTCGTGGAATTTAATCTATCTACATAAATAAATCTACGCTTTAATTAAAATAAAAAAGAAAAAAAGACTATTCAAATTTATTTCGTAATTTCATAGATTTATTCCTATATCTAAACATAATACTGACATAACGAAATTTCGAAAATGTTTTATAAAATTTACCTTAATGAAAACTTAACTATTATATTTTATAAAACACAAATTGTACTATAATGAAAATTAAAAAGTACTAATTTAATTGCATTTTTTTAATTTAATGTTATGTTTTATATTATATTTTACAATATATAATTTACAATAATATCTATATGTTTAATATTTAATATGTATTATATAATATCTGAAAATATAATTACTTAAAGTCCAGGATATTTAATTTCATGGTATGCTTTTTATTTTTCATTTCAAAATGTACTTTGATATTATAAAAATGTTAGTACCATAACTTTCATTAGAATCAAATTAAAGTAATCAGAAAAATGGATTATATTATATATTCAACATTTTAGTATAAATACTTTTATATTATGGTTATATTCTTAAAATAGGAAAATAAAATAATATTCCTATTACTTTTTAAATTATTATGAGGATTAAATATAATAAGTATGAAAGTTTTAATATTCTATTTATTTTAGTAGGTAACGTGAAAACGGTTTAGACGACTTTCTGCTTATTTTCCAGCGATCAATACTTTTATCTTGCTCAAATATAAAAACACTACTTACTCATATAATAAAGATTTCACTTAAAATATTTGTGGTGCTTAAAGCATTCATTAAATTTATATATATATATATATATATAAATATAATATATAATATATAATAAATATATATATATATATATATATATATATATATATATAATTACATATATTGATATTTTTAAATGCAATGGAAGATAAGATTATCATTAATTGTAAAAATATGTCAAAAGATACATCGAATAAAAAGTTTTCCAAGAAAATTTACTTTTTAGCAAGTTAGTTAGTTCCACATTGGTGTAACTATGTATACAAATATGACTAACATATTTTTATTAATGTACGATCTTAACATTTAATGAGTAATCTCTTAAAAATAAGGACATGATTATAAATGTTACAAATGTCGCCAATTAAGAATTGTACATATCATATTTGTCATCTCAATAGAAATTTATTTATAAAACTAAATTGAAATTAAAAATGAATAATTTTAGTAGGATTAATAATATAAAAGAATACGATTAAGCTAGCATAATTATTTTATCGCATGTTAAATTATGTAACTACTATTATATTATATAATAGTCATGTCAATTAGACACAATTATTTTACATAAAAATATCTTTTTCAATGTGCTGAAATATTTACTAATTATACAACCAACGTTTTTATTAATCATTAATTTAAATTTTGTTTTTTGTTTTTTGTTTTTTTTTCTTTGTTTTTTAATATGATTATGCAAAATTTAATTGGAGATCATTTTTAAATAAAATGAATCAATTTAATTAAAATATACTTTACTTGCCAATTGCTTACTAGATTTTACTTCAAACAAGTTTCGGAATTTTAAAATTCAATATTTTTTATTGCGCAAATAAAAATGTGGAGGTTAATTGTAAGGTAAAGTAATTATGCATCATAAATAATAAATAATTAATATTTTTATAAATTTATGTACATATATATATATATATATATATATATATATATATATATATGAAATAAAAATTATAGAAAATAATATAATATAACGTCACTTGCATATATGTGTATATATATATATATATATATATAGCATGAAATTTTAAATAATAAGGAATGTTTTTTGTAGCTTATGTATTCATAAAATACGAAGAGGTTTTTAAATGATTTTTAAAGTTTGAAGCTCGTGTAAGACGGTTTAAAGCTGTATGAGAATTTTTTTTTAAACAATACAGACACAAAATATCACTTAATTCTTATAAATTTAATAGATAAAAAAAAGAATTCATCCTTCATCCGGAAGTGATAAAACATTTTTTAACTGTAAAAAGCACAGTTATTTGTTGATTTTGGAAAAATGAATGGGGAGATATGATCATTAAAACAGTGTAAAGTGTATAGAACATGAAAATCACAGCAAGTTTGATTAACGTCATCCCTACGATTCCTCTCTGAATTAACTTCTCGAGTCGGATTCAATGTTCCCAAAGCCATGAAAATGCGATGAATCAGTTCAAGTTCTCAATCACTCCAACTTCTCAATCAGAGGAAATCGAGTTTTACTTCGGTCCCTTATTTGCTATTCGTCATTAGCTCGACCCCACCCTCCCCTCAACTTCTCAATGCCTCTATTAAGTAATCGAGTAATATTAAAATATGAAAGGCCATTAACATTGTGGCGTCATTGTCTGCGTAGGACGAAGTGCTGACCATCTCGGAGAAAGTGGTGGTGCGCGTTCACGATCTTGTGACGTGGCTCTCGCCATCTCTAGAATGGTCCTGTGGTCGGGAGGTTTCCTACCCCTCGACGCCCTCCTCATCGCCGGACAGCAGTCCGCAGCCCCAGGTGCTCTCGGACCCCGGTCTCGACTTCTCCGACGTCGAACGTCATCAGAAGGATCTCGAGACACTAGCATCGGTACGCCGGGGTGACACAACTGGCCAGACCAAAGTCGTCGTCCTCTCGTATCCGAGGTATTGTCGCTATCGGGCCCTCCTTCAGCGACTCGAAGGCTCCGAACCCTCCTGGCTCTGCTCCTCCATAGCCGCGGCTCTTGGTGGCTTCACCGCCCTACCTGGCACCAGGGTGCTCTTCTGCAGGGATACCTTCGATTACCCGGACCTCGAGACGCACGAGCTGCTCTGCAATCATTTGGGTGAGTAGCTTTCTCAGATTCCATTCGACGAGGTGCTTTGCTTCGTGCAACGTCACCAGAGGGCGCGACAGGTCTTTTTAAACTAATCCCAGCACCTGCTCAATGGAGAATATACCCTGGGCAATGATTAGAGCTTCGTGGATTGAATCGGGCCAGCCTTTCGCTTTTTAAAGCTCCTTACTAACTGCGACCCTGAGCATTTCAATTTTGCATGCGTACAAAATTGTTCGAGCCATTCCTTCGACTATTACCATCCTTAGAGTAAAATTTGTATTTAATAACGTTATGCCTTTAGTTATGTACCGATAAGAGAGAGAGAGAGAGAGAGAGAGAGAGGGAGAGAGAGAGAGAGAGAGAGAGAGAGACTTACATTTTTGTATTACATTCACTTAATAACGAAGACGGCGATATTTTAATCAATTTTTACGTTCGTTAACATAAATAATGGTAAAGTTAAGCATTGAAAGGAGAATTTCAAGATAAAAGTTCTAACGAATGAATGTGAGCTGCAATAATAATAATCTTAATTAATCAAAGCCTCGTTCAAGTCTCGCTACTTTTAATTATTCAAGACGCTTGAAAGTGATAGTATATGAGCATTTAGCCTTGTTTAAGTAATAAGTTACCAATGAACTTCTGTATCGGATAGTAGTTTACCTTTTATTTATATAAAGAAATTTGTGCTTAACCGTTGTCGGTTCGTTACAGCAGAAATACAAACGTAAATATAATTTATTTTATTTTCCATATCAACGTTACAAATTAATTATGTTAATTATATTTCCTTAAAGACAACAATTTTAACTTATAATCTATATAGAAATTAAAATACAAGGCACGATTTTTCTCATGGATTTGATAGCTTTTGACAAAAATATTTTGCAAATTAAGTTCCGAGTGCTTTTAAAACAATTTAAAGTAATGTTACTCAAATATATATATATATATATAACTCTTTTAATGGCATTTTTCGTATAATCGATTTTATAAAATATTATTATTATACTTAGGCTTAAGAAGATAATCTGCAGTGAAATTTTGAAAGTTATCTTTATTCTTGTCTACTTAAATTTCAATTAAATACATTCAATTACATTCATCTACAATACATTCAATTACAAAAACAAAAGCGTATTAAAAGAATATTAAATTATCTTATTTCAACCATTATTTAATTTATGTATAAACAATAAAATTTAATGACGTTGTTTTAAATACAGCTTTTAATACAGTTTTTAATATGAAAAATAAGATATATCTTAGTAACTACTTATGAGTTTAGCATAAATTTGCAATTTTACGATAAGTCAAAATGTGAAAAATAAAACTTAGTAATGCAAGTGGGAAGAAACTTTTTAAATTAAGGAATCAATTATATTATTTTTTTTTTTATTAATAATTGTTATTTTAATAAATGGCAAAGATTTAATTAGAAAAGAACAGTTTATATGCGGAATGCTAAGAATGTAAATTCTTAATCTCCGAGTTTCAAGATAAGACAATTTCATGACTAAGTCTAGCAGAATTTACATACCCAAAGATACACGAGTTTGATCGCATATCTTTATTATTGATGATTTAAGACTGATTATCCATTTAAACATAAACGATGGTGTTATTTACTGAAAATTTAGACACATTTTTAATAGAAAAAAAAAAAGAAAAATAAATAAATAAATAAGAAATTTCATTTCCCTCGGTCTTGTATGTGCTTATAAATTAAGTTTCAATTAATGAAGCAATAATGATGGAAGATGGAATAGTACGAAAACAGGTATATATTGATCGTATTGGTGTTTAATAAAAATTATTATATAAACATACTCGTTTATTACATTGCTTGTGTATATTTTAATATTTTATATAAATTATGTGTAATACTAGGATTATATGCTGAGTTTCTAAATATTTTTGATACTTTAATGTTCGAATGCGCGCGATTTACTTTCAGATAAGTGGATGCCGTCAAATAAAAAAGTAAAAATATTTTAGCAAGAGTTTGATTTCCATATCAGCGTGGGAAGACGGAATATTTTATATAAATTTCATGAAATTTCATTAAAATTAATGGTCGGAGTTTCAATTAAATTTTAATAACTATGAATTAACATTTTTAATAAAAATTCATCACCATCCAAACGCAATAATATAAAAATTATTATTTTCTGCCAAGTCATTGTTAAAGTTTTCTAATTATCGTATATTTTAATTTTCCCAATTATCTTTAATAAAATCAAAGACAGGAAGAGCCTAAAGAGTAAAATTACATTCATACAAAGAAAACAATCATTATTATTTTGAATTCGTTTTATTATTGCTTTGTGAGCATTTATAATCGGTTTTCTAGATGCGTCTATGATTTGCAAAATTTATGATAAGATAATCAGGACATCGTGCATCTGCTAATTTTGAAATATAGTTAAGTAGATAATAAATAAGTAGTTAAAAATGTATACACGCGAAAAGAAATTCATGTACATAAAAATTTAAATATTCAAATGTTCATTAGAGTGTTATTAAATACATAACTATGTGATTTATAATTTATATTTGTTTGTTCCAGTAGTAGACGAGTACAAAGCATAATAATAAGTATTACGTGATGTAGAAATTTTTCAATTACTTCAAATATTAATGTCTGTAGCTGCCCGCATTGTGGAAAATCACACTACAACCATATATTGCACAAGTGAAAAAATTTTCCATTTTCAAACCTAATATAGGCGATGAGAATTTTTTAATTATTTTAACACTCCCAATCCAATCTCATAACATTACTATCTTTAACATCGTGAAAAAAAGAATTGCAAATATATTATATTTATGAAATATTCATAAACATACCTGACTGCTGTTTAATTATATTGAATAGGATGGAGATATGTGATTTTTCAAAAATTGCACCTTCTCAACAACAACTTGCCCTTTAAGAATTTACTCAATAAATAAATATAATAATAATAATAATAATAATTGCTAGTCGCATATTTTCATTTAATATTATAACATCAATGAGTTAATGTTTTCGTCGTTGTATGCAACCGTCGATTAAAGCCATTTCCCAGTGCCATTCAATATCTATGTTTCAACGTGCACTCGCTCATTAAATCTCTCATGCTCCGAATGTACTTCAATTTCCCCCCCCCCCCTTCATAAGCATTACCGTAGGGCGACGTTCGGTACTCTACAATTTTTTCATCGAAATCACGTGCCCACGTGTCTTTACACGCTGGACCCCCTTGATCACGCGTCTCAATAATGAGACAACCACTGATGGTTTTTGAAGGTACTAATGCTACATTAGGTGAATGGGAACACGGGACGCGAGTCTATCGGCAAATGGTACGACAAAGATATGGAATAGTGTCGAGGGTGAGCACTGGCCATTACATCCACGATGGATACGACGAGTTTCCTAAACGAAAGATATTAAATTATTTATCCGTGACCTCGGCTCCTCCTCACTACTTCAAACGCCATGAAGTGACAATATTCGGGTAAAGGTAGGTTGGGAAAAAAGCTGCCCATCGTGGTCCTCCTAATCGCCGGCACCTTCCCCCGGTCACGTGACCGCCGCTCGGCCGTCAAGGCGCGCGCACACTGACCACGCACGGATACACGAAAAGAGAAAGAGACGGGGCGACGTAGAGACACATGTAGGGCAGTTAGCGCGCCTGCGCAGCGGATTTGCACGCGGTTGCACGAGTGGCTTGGCGCCCATTAGATCGGCGGCGACACGTGCACCGGGCGAATGTCGCCTCGTTTCTCATAGTCACGAGACACCGGAGACTGACATACGTCCGTTTCCTTACGGCTATCACTTTCCTTTTTTTACTTTACTAGCCGAGCCCTCGTCGACACACTCGCGCGGCAGCTCGGGATGACCATTATCATGAGGATCATTAACAATCAGATCGTTAAGCTGGAGATCGACGGGCACAAGCGTAAGGATTCTTTTGTAAAACGTTCTTTTGTTTTTCTTCTCTCTCTCTCTCTCTCTCTCTCTCTCTAAATATATTTATATATATATATATATATATATATTTACCTATCTTTCGCTCACCCCCTCTATCTCTTAGCACCACCCCCTCTCTCATTCGCTTACTCGTTCTCTCAACTTATTATCACTACCACTATCACTATCACCATCACCACCACCGCAACTACGACCACGACCACGACCACGACCACGACCACGACCACGACCACGACCACGACCACGACCACGACCACGACCACGACCACGACCACGACCACGACCACGACCACGACCACGACCACGACCACGACCACGACCACGACCACGACCACGACCACGACCACGACCACGACCACGACCACGACCACGACCACGACCACGACCACGACCACGACCACGACCACGACCACGACCACGACCACGACCACGACCACGACCACGACCACGACCACGACCACGACCACGACCACGACCACGACCACGACCACGACCACGACCACGACCACGACCACGACCACCACCACAACCACAACCACGACCACCACCATCACCATAACCACCACCACCACCACCACTACCACTACCACTACCACCACCACCACCACCACCACCACCACCACCATCATCACCACCACCACCACCACCACCATCATCACCATCTCTCTTTGTCTATGTATCTATCTATCTATCTATCTATTTAGCTCCCTCCTCCCTCTCATTCATATGTCGCCACCGTTACTTTCGCGGAAATAACTTTCTTGTTCTTAGCCATTATTTGCCGTAGTCCCCAATTGGAGATTGCGTCAGCTTGCCAATAGGGGGGAGACACTTATTATTATCACTCATATTTTTAGTGGCACCCTTCTTGCGGTTACAATCGACTTTTAAAGCGCCAAGTGACACACGACCCGCTGCACACGCGTCATACACACACATCGTCAACGCGTGCTCTTTGGCTTATTCACGCAGTCTATATGATAATCGCGAATTTCTGATTTACTATTTCTCCTCCGATTCAAATTGTATCGACATAATGCCATCTTTGTTTTTGTTTTTATTATTTCCATAAATATCTTGCAACGACGCGCATTCCCAGCAGCAGTTTCCATATAATATCAATTATTTTCAATATTTCACTATAGCCATTTTTCTTTATTACTTTTACATACAATATTAACGTATCCCTTACTAAATATTTCGTCATTATAATTTATTGTACGGAGGAACGGCAATTATAGCGCCCAATAACGACTGTAAATGAAAGTAAAAATAATTAGCGTTAGAGATAAAAATCCGCGTGTTACAAAGCTGATACTCGTTCCTTTAATGAACGAACGTATAAATTGTCTATCGAAGCCAATCGATAATTACTATGTCATTAAATTTACCTTATTAAGCATTCATCTACCTTTCAATTGCAAGCTTACATTTTATAATTCACTACACCGTCGCGACCTATAAATTAAACATTGTTTTCATTGGTTGGTAAAAATATAAAAACATCAAACATCGTACGATGTCTTTTTTCTCTCCAGTGCAGTCGTGTTTAAGTAAAACTAGTATTACGTGGTAAAGCTTCAAAACAAATAAACAAATAGCCGGAAACATAATAACACAGATCAATCAACAGTTGCCCCTTCCACTACCACTACCACTGCCACTGCCACTGTCACTGCCGCTGCCGTTGCCCCTGCGGCGGCGCCCAATCGACTCACCCCTCAACCCCCCTACCTCCCAACGGCCCACCGCCGCTTCGGCCCGTTCCTCCTTCGCCAGACGAAACACTTCCACGATCTCGTCGTTTTCGCCGTCGTTGGTTCAAGCAATCTTTCAAAAAAGACAACAACAACAACAACAACAACAACAACAACAACAACAACAACAACAACAACAACAACAACAACAACAACAACAACAACAACAACAACAACAACAACAACAACAACAACAACAACAACAACAACAACAACAACAACAACAACAACAACAACAACAACAACAACAACAACAACAACAACAACAACAACAACAACAACAACAACAACAACAACAACAACAACAACAACAACAACAACAACAACAACAACAACAACAACAACAACAACAACAACAACAACAACAACAACAACAACAACAACAACAACAACAACAACAACAACAACAACAACAACAACAACAACAACAACAACAACAACAACAACAACAACAACAACAACAACAACAACAACAACAACAACAACAACAACAACAACAACAACAACAACAACAACAACAACAACAACAACAACAACAACAACAACAACAACAACAACAACAACAACAACAACAACAACAACAACAACAACAACAACAACAACAACAACAACAACAACAAAATGAAAAAAAAAAAAGAAGCCAAGGATTTATTTTATTTTGACAGAATTCTCGGTTGACACTCCGTAGAATGGATAATTAATTCTAAGAAACTATTGAAAAAAACAAATATAACTTAACCAAACTGAAATAACTATGTAATTTCATTATAAAACTTATGGACTTTACAGTTGCCGATACGTACGCTGTTGGATCAAAGCCTCATACGTTTCATTTTATTAGGCCCAGGCTTTATTATAATTTTTAAAATTCCTTTAACTTTATTTAAAATAATGGAAAGCATGTATATATTATTCTTCTATTATTGTATGAAAACGTCTCTCAACAGCCCAAATCTGCGTTTCTCCATATTATTTCCAAGATCTATTCCAACTTCGATAAATATTTACATTTATCGACTCGTCGGTGAAACATTCAAATATGCATTGATAGTAAACAGTCGGTTTCGCTTGCTTACATAGTGGGTTTAGCCGAATTTCTGCGATGCATTGAATTTTATATGAATATCTGAGAAGTCATGCTAGAAGGCAAATTATCAAAATATCAAAAAATTTCATTACATTGTAAAGTTGGTTGTGAATAATGTAGATGAGATATCGATAGATTGGCAAGTATGGGAGAAAAGTATTTCAATAAACGTGTGATTTATTCGTGCGAATATATAAATATGCGAATGCTGCTTTTATGAAATAATTAGTTTTTTTTTTGTTTTTTTTTTTGTTTTTATTATTTCCGTAGCATAGCTTTATAAATAATTATATAGATTGCTAACAAAATTTAATACGGCAATTTAATTTTTCTCATGACTCTACTCTACTCAACGTATCCATAATTTCCACATAATCACTATAATAATAATATAATATAATATAATAATAACAATAATGCCATCGTATTATTATCATATAATTATCTATTATATTTATATCGGTAATAAGTCAATTGCTTTTTCTTCTTTAAGAAAACTCGTACATAATTCACTTTGTTTAATTAATTTTAATTGCAATTTATACCGGATTACAGTTAATTAGAGTGAATTATGAATTCACGAATGACCTGTTTAGTAAATAAATAATATAATTAATTGATGGAACAATGTATGAAATTGGGAATTAAAAAGATAAAATTAGTATTTTCCTCGTTTTTAAAAGCACTAGAGAATTCTTGCCCATTACGGCAATATGTGTTTCTGTCTTTCTTTATCAATGCTCCAAACAATTTAATTTACACACACACACACACACACACACACACACACACACATATGTGTGTGTGATATGTCATATTTTTTATTAACCAATTTATAAAATATAATTTATCGGAATATTGAGTGGCCATTGATATTCTAAAATAGCTTTTTTTTTTTATACGCACAATGGCTTATGCGTATGCGTTGGAATATGATTTTTTTTTTCTTTTTTTCATTTTTTTTCAATGCCTCAAATCAATCGATACAAAGCCTGTACGCACGAACATTCATAGTAACATAAAATCGCGTGATTTTGTTGAATTATATATTTTAAGTAGTTAATCATTATTACTTGATCAATGTTCTTCGTAGGCCAACCGATATCCTTTAACTTTTTTAGTCCTAATAATTTCTCCACGCCCTTGCAATCACGGCTTAGCAACAAATAAACAAATACATAGTTTTATCACAATAAAAAGTGCATAAACCTTCTACGAAGACTTTTACAAAGTTTGTTTTGAAATAATACAATGCAGGCGTGTAATCCGCCGGGGACTAGAATCGATAAGTATATTTCTATTGTCGTGCGTTCTTGAAAGCCGCACAATTGCAATTGCGATTCGGATTTAAGTTTTTGATTTAAGTACGTAGTAAAGGAGCAAACAAGGCTCGCGCTTATAAATGCGCAGTCGGCTGGAGGATTCGCGCGGTCGACGCGCACCGCTCACCTGGCACATTACATTATCATTAGAGGTCGATTAATTAAGAAAAGCAAAGTGAGCGGGCCGAGGAAGCTATCAAAGTAGGCCGACAAAAGCTTGGCGGCATCGGCTCGCTTCGCTTTGGCATATAAATTCCGAGAGGGCAAAGGGGTCGTTAGTCGTCGACTTATGATCATACATATTGGACTAATGAAGGATCGAATGTACGTTTCAGCGCCAAAATTGAAAGGACGACCTCGGAGAAAGCGGAAAAAGCGTAGCGTTTCGCCGGGCGAGTCGAGCAACGAGAGCGAGGCCTCCGTCGCCTCCTCCGTAGCCGCTTCCTCCTTTAAGGGATCGTCCTCGAGTTCCGGACAGTCGAGCACCAATGCCAGTGGGAGGCCAACCTCCTCGGCCATACGACGCAGCGAGCGCAAGACCAGCGCCGAGGAGAAGAGATTCGTCACCGATGTCCAGAGTTTCATGACTTCTCGCAACACTCCCTTAGGCAAGATGCCCCTACTGGGTTACAGGCAGAGTGTGTATCGCCTTTTTTATTTGACCCTCATCGGCTTTTGGCCATTGCCCTTCCCGACCCCCCGTCCCCGGTAAAGTTGTTTGCCCATTTAACGCGTTGTAATTGTAAATATCCGTTAAATTGGGGTAAGGGTGATGGAAGGAGTCAGTATTCTTTTTATCGGATTTAAATCAACTTGGCATTCGCGCGCTTTTAACTCACGTTACAAGCGAAAATGCAAAATTTTATAAAAGATTTTTTTTTTTTTTTTTTTTCTTTTTTTAAAATTATTATTAGTATTATTATACTACTTATTACGTTTATTTTTATTATAGACGCAATGTATATATATATATATATATATATATATATATATATATATATCTGATCTAATGCTATTCAATTTATAAAAATTTTGCATCGCAATGCTTTAAAGCTAAAATCAATAATAAATTTCGGAAATATTTCATTTTATTAAGCGTTTATTATTAATAATCATTTTTGTAAGGTTTGCTTTTACTTTATGCCAATAATTCAAATATTTACTATGTTTTAAGGAATAAAATGTGTTTCAACTTTACGATGGGGAAAATTTAAAAAATTTAAATTACACCAAATGGGTCAAAGGTTACGATAACGAAATGTCGAATTTGAACGACTAAAACGAGATTGTTTGCATTTAATAATTCAAAATTTAATCTTTCATGCTTTGAAGTAATAATACATTATCGAATACATGATTTTTTTTCTACATTTAAAAGATATTTGTCAGTATACTTAAAGGTAAGAGAAATGTATATATATGCAACAGCTCGTACGTACGTTTGATGTTTCTATCGTAATATAATTTGTATTTTACAATGTGGAGGTCACTTTTTCAGATATTTATAATTCACATTGGTATTAAATGTTGATTAATATAAGGAAATGACGTATTTAAATTATGTGAAAGGTATGCATAATATTTGGAAAATCATTTCTAACAATACCATTTTGTGTAAATTAAGTCAAAATTTAACGCAATAAAAAAATAATTAATATATCGAAATAAATAAGCGAAAGATAAATTTATTTGATAAGAGATTAATATGACTATTATGTGATTTTAGTTTTTTTTTTTTTTTTTTTTTTTTTTTTTTTTTTTTTTTTTTTTTTTACAAAAGTATTATATTTTCATTTTAGCATACTGATAAATAATTAATTAAATGTCAAATTAGGCTAATAGTAAACTTGTAAACTATTATTACAAAAATATAGTTTGATTTTTTAATATTAAAAAATATTTTTTCTTTTCTAGTTGATCTATTTCTGTTTTACACAAAAGTTCAAGATTTGGGTGGATACGATAGAGTAAGTGCGAATCGTCTTTGGAAATTAATTTATGACGAAATGGGAGGTAATACGGGTTCAACGAGTGCTGCAACAATAACAAGAAGACATTATGAGAGGTTTGTAAAAAGCTGAAAAGATAATTCACATAATCGTGAGCTGACATTTCGATACAAACTGTTACAGTACTCTTTACTTTATAAATCTAGATTGTTGTTGCCTTATGAAAGGTGTCAAAAGGGCGAAGAGACGAAGGTTCGACCAAATCATGGAAGTAGGCGCATTAAAACACCAAGTATATCAGACGTATCGGAAGATTCCATTGAAGTAAAGAGAGAGAATGAAAGTCCACCTCCTTCGGAGACGCCACCTCCAGTCGAAACAACTAATTCTACTACAGTTACACCTCCTCCTCTACAGTCAATTCTTGCATCTTCGGTATATATATATATATATATATATATATATATTTACATACGCACTCCTCCCAACTCCATATATATATAAATGTAAACACGAATATGCGCATATATTCATGTTTTGTTTATTAAAATCAGTTCAATAAATCAATTTCACTTTATTTAATCGAATACGTAAAATTTTCTTTAATTAAGTGATCGAAAATTAACTAGCTGCTTAATTTGCAATATTTACTTGCGTTAAATTAGAAATAAAATAAAAAATAAGAAACTTATAATTATAATAAAGTAAAGTCTTCATAATCATACACACGCGCGCACACACACATATATATATATAAAATTTATAATATATTGAAAATTCAAGAATCAATTATGGCTTTTAAATTGACGTTATTCTTATAATGCAGGAGAATAATTGCGAGAAAATATGAAATAACATTTTTCTCTCGAGAATTTTATTCATATGCAATATGTATTTCAATTAAGAAATTGATTTTTGAAAATGATTCGTAATATTCTTTTTTTTTGTTTGTTTTTATTTATCAATTTCATGATTCCCATTGCATTAAGTTTATATAAGAATCATTTGATATGAAATCGCTTGATCAGCACCTCACAAGAACTAAAGCAGAATAAATAAAACGTAAATTGGTTATGGTATCTAAAACTAGAAGTTTTATTTATTTATTTCTTTTTTTTTTTTCTATTTCTCTTTCTTTTTTTTTTCTTCACTTAATGTATCGAGTCTTTCTAATGCTGACGTAACTCTGATATAATTTTAAGCAAATGAAACTGACACGTAAATGATAAATGGCGCGAGTAGGGAATAAGGAAAGGAATTTTTGTCCTGCTCGTAGTAGGGAATCAGCGTTTCGCAGTAAGTCACGCATAAGCCCCCTCGCACCGTTGTGTAAAATCCAATGTTTGTCGTAACAGGCGTTCCTGCCTGGCGAGAAGCCACGCACTGAGAGCGGCAAGACGTCGTCGTTGCGCAGCGTGAGGGTAAAGCCCGAACGACTGAAGTCCCTGAATACGATAATAGCGACCAGCAATCCGGCGGCCGCCAGCCAGCAGCAGCAACTACCGAGCTCCCCAGGCTCCCTCCTTACCTCGACCACCTCCTCCAACACGACCTCCTCGTCAGGGGCCTCCTCACCCACGAGTACACCCCCAGCCTCGACCACGCCAACGAACGGCAGCCAGCACAGTGTCCTCGAGAGGCAGCTCAACAGCCCGCTTCTCACGCAACAGGTATGGCGACTTTCGGGACCTATGATCGCCCCTTTAACTTTGGATTTAGATTGAGGTACCCGAGTGGCCGCGCTTGATCACCGGACGTGTTTTCATATTGTTGTCCCCAAAATTGTAATCGTGACTTATTGGGAATCGAAAGATTACCCGTATCATGCAAATGCGTCGCAATATTATAGCCATCGACTTTCATCGCGTGCATCAACTTTGTTTTTAAGATAAGATAGCATAGCGCCATTTAATATATAAGATCCGTAGCTAAGTCTGCCGAGCCATGTGAAAGGAGAATATTAAACGAGTTTGCTTTTCCAGGTACCACCGTCGTGTTCACCACCAGGACTGCCTGTCAGTACTGTAGGAACTAATGCGACGACTGTGGTAACGCTCACCCCACCTCCTGAGAAGGACATGAAAGAGATTAAGCTCGATCCGAAGCAGACGAGTTTGTTGGCCCAAGGCAAGGAGAACATACCCCTCTTTGAGGAGAAGAGTCCTATATTCGTGGATAAACCAAACGCCGCACCGCGCTCGCCCGAGGTCATCGATCTCGAGACGGAGAACGAAAACGGCGCTAGGGATAAGCTTATCATTCCAAGCTTTAAGAAGCGAAAGCTTGAAATTCTTCGCGAGGGTGGACTCGAAGTTACGCCCGTTGAGTTGGGTACGTTCTATCGCTTTATGACCATCCTTTTACGGCTGTTGCAAGTGGAAAATTAGTTTCTTAGCTCATTATCTATGTCATTAAAAAAGAAGAAAATTTTCGTAATTCATGATGATTTATTTAAAGACCTACAAAAATAATGTAAAATTTAAAATTAAATTAAATATGTCATCGTTGTTATGTTATATATATATATATATATATATTGTTCGCTATATTTTGCTTAAATATGACAATTCCTTTGAACAGTCGTAACATTGATAAAAATCATGTTTAAGAATATTCTATAATTAAATTGTATTTAACGTGGCGATTGCAAACAGATTTATGCTACTTTATCTTGTAAAATTTTAATTCACCTCCATCCCCTCCCTATATTAAATAGTGGCAAGTTATTTACAATTCGAAAGGTTCGAAGGCTTAGTGCCTAAATTAAATTATTAGATTCTTATAATAAGATATTGTAGTTAGAGTCCAACTAAGATGCTCGTTAAAAGAAACGGGGTATCCGGTATATAAATAATAAATTTCTTTGAAGTTTAAAACAACATTTGAAACCGTCATTTTCATAACTACTTACATCTGGCTCTCACCAACTAAGTTTATTATTGAAAATTTTTTCTACGACAATAAATTCAATGTCGCTTATTTTATGTGTTTTAAGAAATAGGTTTAGCCATAGGGAAGATGTGGTTGATCATCGCTATCTTATTTTCAGTCGTCTTTTATCATATTTATTATAATCGTCGTTATCGTATGTATATATTACTGTTAGAATTCGATAGCGATAGAGTTGAAATTGTACGCTAACAACAACTAAACGTTGATATTGCCGACATGGAAAATACTGCCTAGATTTGAAAGTTAGTACAATTCTTTAAAGTAAGATTATGCTTATAAAATGAAGGAAGCGATAAGATTTTCGCATATGTTTGTGCGCCTATTCCATTCTTGTTCCATAAAATATAAATACAAATATGCAAGATGCATGTGTGCGTGCGTGCGTGTGTGTGTGTGTGTGCGTGCGTGTGTGTGTGTGTGTATGAATAGAAATATGCACAACCGCTTATTCAAATATTTAAATATTTCAAAATGAAGTAGAAAAACACGCACCACGGATGATTCGTTTACATTTCTTTTTACATTCAATCTATTATCTTACGTTATAAGCGATCGCTTAACCGAACGAATCTAGCATAACGTGCCATTGATATTCTTGTTATTTTACAGATGCCCGACCAAGTGTGATTCAGCCGACAACGACGACGAATGCGACAACAGCAGGATGCTTAAGCGCCTCCGCGACGACGATGGCCAGTTCCTCTACCGCTTCGTCACTAGTTACAGGCACAATCGCGGCAACAAATGCCACACCCTCGGCCCTAAAGCAAGAGGAGAAACCCACCGCGAGTGGCTCCTACGCTATACCGCCGGCAACGGTCATACCCAAACTCATAAACGTGACGGTCACCCCGGACATCGGTCGAATGTTGCCCCGGTCCGAGGAACCGCGCGGTTCCGCCGTCTCGCCAATTCGACCCCATCCTATCACCCCCGTAAAGCAGCAGCAGCATCACCACCATCATCATCATCATCATCACCATCATCATCAGGCGTTAACGAATCAGGGCTCGCCGACCGGTCCGGGTGCCAATAGCCGTGTCATCAACCTTGGTAGTTCCAATAACGCCACGCTGCTGCAGCTTTATGCGAACGCTAACGTCCCCGTGCCGCACTCCTTGAGCGCGTCCGTCCAGGCGAATCAGCGCTTCGTACCGCCCCCGCCTCCCATGGCCAACGGTAGGTCGCTACTACCCAAGGTCACTCAATCCAGATCCATCTTCGGTAATAACGAGAGGATGGTCTATGGCAATCCCAAGGACATACTCGTCCCTCCCAAGTACATACCAAATGTGCTTGCGCAGCCGCACACGCCCAGAAATCCGAGGTTATTGGTTGATTTTTTTATTCTTTTTCTTCGAGCACTAATGATTTGAAAAATAAAAAAAAATAAAAGCAAGAAATAAGTTATTGAAATTCATATCGAATCGTTGCTTGGTTGACTGAATTTCCTAATGTATATCGAGACGATTATAATGTTGCAACATTATAATTTAATTTTTGTTTTGTTTTGTTTTGTTTTTATTGTTTATTAAACATAAAAAATAAATTAATTCATTCCTTTAAGAATTTATCAATCAAATGCAGTAGCGTGTCAAAGATGTAAAACGAAATTTTTCGTATCACGAGAGCTTCGAGTGAAATCAATATCCAACATTATTGAAAAGAAAAAATGTTCCAACAAATTTTTCTTACCAATGTTAACTCTTAGAAACGAAGACAAAATAAGGCAATCGTCTACGTCGTTAACGTTGGATTTGTCATTACCCAGTGTTCTCTCGGCACCAAATGTGCGATGTGCCGAACCCTCCTCGGGTGGTGTCCTTGACCTCACTCAAAAGTCCACCGCCAGCGGCGAGAGACCGAGTTACGGTCGACCGAACCTGGAGATCATGAGGGTGCCGGTCGTACCCCGACCGAATCCCCTGAACCTCGAGGCTCACCATCGAGGTGTAATGAATCTTGGTAGCAACCACTGTAAGGATTCGCCCGTCAAGGTACCCCCGCCACCACCACTGCCGCCCCCGTCTCCGTCGGACGCGACTACGGGGCGCAAAGGTCACTTCGTCGCTGGTAATCTCGCGCCGAGTCCCGCTGGCTATGCAAACGTCCTCGACAGTCGTACAATGGCCACAAATAATCTGGAGATTACCCTCGTCAGTCCCAAAAAGTCCGGCGGAGGAGCTATCGTTGGCCCACCTCAGCTCAGCCCACCCTCTAGAAATAATAATGTGGTACGGATGAAAATGTACTATTTTAATGCTGGGCTCTTGCAAATAAATATATTATAACAATATAGAGCTCGAATTTTACTCTCAAATTATTTGCTTAATCGAGCACCGAGCACTCTCGAGACCTAGACGCGATAAAATACTATTCACTCGATCTAATTATCAACATACGACTTTCAAATTTTATATTGCCAATTACGTATAGTGAAAAAGCAATATATTTAGTATCGGCTTACGAATTAATAAGAAGCGTCTGTTAATTGGCGGTTCTTTAAAGGAACCGATTCAACTTACGTCCTCTGTATGCTCGTGAAACTGCGCGCGCTCGTGCAATTTGTTATTGATTTACTTAGTTATTCGTAATTTACTGCGATAGTGATGAAATATAATGACATATGTAGGAAAAGAGTGGTCATGCTACCAAATATTGGTGTCAAATCTTGCTTAATTAAGCACGTTGAACAGTAGACTCGGTATAACTTTATGTTAGTGTACAATCAAGTGGCTCTAAAAATATGCAGCCCTGGACATAAAATAAAAGTACATATTTTCTTATCGTACCATTTGCTCAGCGGAAATCGGAATAAGCTCATTTTATAAACATTGAGTCTTATATCGATAGCTTAGCCACGCGTATAATTATATAAATAATTAAACGTCCACATATATTTATACAAATACGACGTTGGTACGTAATGGGATTATCTTGATAAATAATGTGTTTCTTTGCAAGAATTGTCAAAGCATTTGCTAATAATTTTTAATAATATAATGTAGTGATAATCAAGAGCAAAAATTGTATAGCGTTGATAGATATTATGAATTAGCCGTGCATACTGTAATAAATCATAATCTATGGAGGAATAATTAACGTATGTTTCGCACCAGTTGCCACCAACGTTGCCAATGCAAAGGAGACAGCACCAGCATCAGCACCAGCACCAGCACCAGCACCAGCACCAGCATCAACATCAACATCAACATCAGCACCAGCATCAGCATCAGCATCAGCATCAGAATCAGCACCAACAGCATCAACATCAGCATCAGCATCAGCAGCAGCAGCAGAAGCATCAGCACCAGCACCAGCACCAGCACCACCACCAGCAGCAGCAGCAGCCGCATCATCATCATCATCATCATCATCATCACGTAAATGGCAAGTTCCCGTCAAGACTGCCTTCAGAGCCGGTCTCGCCTTACACTCCGCGCAAGCCGCTGCCATCGAGTGGCGGTGGCAGCCATCACCCGGTGATACCGAACGTGCCGAATCTTAGCCATTTGAACGCAAGCGCGGCCTCCGGTTACGTCAAAGGCAATCAAACGGCCAGCTACCAGCAGATGACGATGGAAAAGAGAAAATCGTCCCTTGAGTCGGCCGTTAGTAATAAGGACCACCAGCGCAGGATAAGCGAGGGTGACAAGGCTTCGATGCAACAACAACGAATCGAGTCCGGAACGTCGGGTTTATCGTCGAAGCAGCAACATTCGAGGTAAGCACGTCTCCCTCCTCGTGACGCCCGTATAATTGGATGCACCTCCACCCAAGGGCAGTCCCAAGGGTAGTCGCAATACCAACTTTATAATTCGAAATCCAATCCGTCCAATATCGAGGCTTCCAACTAATGTAATCGGCTCGATTCTCAGATCAGCCTCCAAGATTCATTTTTCAATATTACTCGTCATACATTTCACTTCACTACTCAAAAATCTTCGAAGCGTAGTTTTTTTTTTTTGTTTTTTGTTTCAATAATGAGCATTTTTCTCTCTTTCAATGTCAATATCCTATGTTTTTAAATTGTACAATAATCAGCGTGAACTATCGGCTTTTGAATAAGGACAAAATAGTGATACGTTATTATAATTATTGAAAGTATCTAATTGATTCTAATTGATATCTTATTTTAAATTAATTTGTAAGATAACACGCACGCACGCACACTAAGCCCACCGTAAAAAATTAAATTGAAAACATTTTTATATAGCCTCGTAATGATATACTAAGTATCTTTTATAAATAAATGTCTCGAGGATTTTTACAAACCACGGGATACTTACTTTAATTATTGACATTACGTATAAAACGTTTAGTTATAAATTCTCGGATTAGTTAAGTTTTGATCAAATATTTAGAAAACTCGGAGCTTTTCATGGAAATGCCTGTCCTCCCAACTGTCGTTCCTCTTTATCCTCAATGTAACGGGGTAGTGGGAAAGCCTCGCTCCCGGGTGACCCTAAATATTTACACCGAAAGCCAAGCGGCTCGCGCACCTCCGCGCTCCAACGACCGATCAATCGGCCCTTTAACATTAATGGCCAAATTCTTCCAGGGAGTCCGAGGCCAGCTCTAGGAGACACAGCGTGCCGAGCCTGTCGACGGGCTTCATGTCGGGCATGCCCCCGAACAGCCCGGCCTTCCTCGCTCATCAGATCGTCGCCGCGGCGAATAATGGCTCGACGGCCTCCCCAGCGGCTGCCGCGGCTGCGGCCGCAGCGGCCGCCGGAAAATTCCTGCCCATCCTCGACCCCATGTACTACTCGGCCTTCTATAACGGTCTCTTCCCCGGGCCCGTGCCCGCCAACGCTGGACCCAACCCCTTCCTGCCGCCCGAGCTCAGCGCCTACTACAAGGAGCTTCTCGCCTCCTCGTCCTCGTCGGCTTCCGCCCAACAGACGAGACTGCAGCACCAGCCGGCCGCCCCCACGTCCAAGTAGAGGAGGGTCAACTGCGCCACAGCGATCTCAATGCGTTCGTGAACGATTTTACTTTATTCATTAATATTTTTGTTTGGGTTTTTTTTTTCTTTTTTTTTTTCTCCTTAAATTTTCAAGCCACGACGAAAACTGTATATTAAGCGATGCGTGTTGCTGTATGTGTGTGTAAACTGCTCTTTTGCAGTGCCGCCGTATGTGTCTTTTTTCATTTTCTATTATTGTCTAATATAAGTGGAATGTATTTTGACCTTTTTTCGGAAATTTGTTTTTCTTTTGTTTTGTTTATTTTTATTATTATTATTATTATTTTTTTTTTTTTATTATTAAATATACGCTTGAAAAGGATGTTTTGGGATGACAATGTAGAGAGTACTAGAGGGATGAGTGGTAAAGACACTGTTTCCTTTTGTTTTCCTTTGTTTTTAGAGAAAGTTTAAAAATATTGCGATTGCGAATCGGATATTCTTTATTTTAATTTTATTTGAATCATCCCTGCTCGTCTCGGTATTTCTCTGTAAATAAAAACTCGATAAGATTTTACCATTGGGATTAATAATCGGCTGAAATAAATTTCATCGCCGATAATATGAAACGCTAAAAAATAAGGAATCTATGTGAAATTGACATGTTTATATTTAATAAAGTAACTTTATCAAATGGAGAAAAAGTTATGAGCTTTTCGTTTCAATGTTGGTAATGTGAAGTGTCGAGACGAGTAATTGTAATTCAATTCATTTTAATCTTACTTTGAGTTTCGAATTCTGTAATACAGCGATTATCAAACTAATTGTTTCATAATTTTATATCAAATTTATTGGATTGATCATTGTCAATTAAAAAATTGTAAAGACATGTTTGTCTTGATATCACAGCTAGTTGATGCCCGCGTATAGATTTAATTTATAAATTGAAGAGGAGAAAAATATTGAAAAGCTTTTGTTTTTTATGATTAAATGTTAATGAGAAGAGGAAATTATACAAGAGACGATGTAATGTTTTTCTAGTGACACCCTCCTTACAAGGGCACTGAAAAAGAGACGATTAAAACGCGCAATTTATGGCTAATCGTACTTTAGGGCGCATTTTTTCCTTCCGACTCGTTTTACATGCGCGATGTGATAATTATTATGTATTCGTAAAATGCGAGAGTATCATGGGAGCGTCGAGTACACATTGAATTATTGAATAAAACGTCTATATGTAACAGCGAATAATCTGTTCTCTTTTGCTTCAAAGCTCGCACAAAGATCCCGCATACTCTGCTACGTAATCTAGCCAATTTTCACCGACAATGACATTTGAATCATACACGCGGATAATACAGCTTATAAATAATAAAATATGAAAGTGAATAAAAATAAACACTGAGAATTGCATCTTTTTGGTCGTTGAAATTAAAATGATCAAAATGAAAAATATAAGATGAGTATCGTATCTGGGTGAGCGTTCTTTCTCCCTCGAGAAAACAAAAAAAAAAAAAGAAAGAGAAATGTCACATCTCGAAAAAGTAACCTTATGTCAAGTGTAATAATCGCTAGACTGTCAACTTGTACATAGTGTATATATTTTTAAAATATAAGTTCGCTTGTAAGTCGCGACGAATAGTCTAGTTAAAAAAGAAATACAGCATCGTCTTTGAATATTATGTAATACCTGTAATAAGAAGTTTACTATTAAGATTTTAGGTATGTGTGTACAGGCCGTCCTGAACCTTAAGACTCTTGAGTCTCATATTTCTAGCGAAATTTTCCGGCTGATTTCTATTGCGATGATAAATTTTAGGGATTTCAGCAATTTGTTTAAATCCATTTTTGATTTGTCCTTGTGCAATTGATATTTATTTTATGTTCTGCGTTATTTTTTGAGAAAAACTTGTTTACTTCAGTAAAAATAGTTTTAAACGAAAGAATTAATTTTTTTTTATTATTATTATTATTATTTTTATTTTTTTTTATTTTAAAAGTTTAGAGATTAATTTTTTGCAAGATTATTTTGTTTTAAATTAAGTTTTGTAATATAAATTTGTATAATTTTTTTTATTATAAACAAGTTTAATCATAAAAGTATTTGCGTTAGTTAGAAAATATTCTAGAGTTAAGTATCGAACGTTATAATTTTGCGAAAGATTATCATGTAAAAGTAAAGGACAGATATTTTTATCTCAACGATTGATTCTTTTACAATTATTTTTTATCTAAAGTTAAAATAAATATTTGTTTTTTAATATGCATAAAGCTTAGAATAAATAAAGAAAAGGAATCTAAAAATTAAAAGTTCTCAAAATAATTGCAGAAACAATTCGTTTAATGTAAAAAATATATATATATATATCTATATATATATATATATATATATATATATATATATATATATATATGTATATATATATGTATATATATATATAGCGTTGCAACAATTGTAAGCCGAGAAATTTTGTTAAACTTGTACGCGCTTTCGTATCTATTAGTTATCGCGTTTCAATGCGAGCGTAACAATAAAAGAAGACGTTAGCGCGTGCAGCTGAAGGAAGCGCCGATAATCCTCACGGTTATAAAAGAAAAATAATAATGTTTGAATTCGCGATTGCGCGCGACTTCCGTAAAAAAATTAAGTCGGCCTTTGCTTTTCAAGCGTTTCTTCAAATTTGTTCATTGTAGAAGTGTGGGATGAGAGATGAGCCAAACGCCGCTTACGATGATTCTCCTTTAATTTTCGCATGTTGATAATTTAAAGAAAGAAAAAACATATATATATATATATATATATATATATATATATATATATATAGATATATATATATATATTTTTTACATTAAACGAATTGTAAATATTTCCATTAAAATTGAATGGCAATTTGAGTTTTGGTCTGGCTTAACAATCAAAATAAAATCAAATGAAGTAACTGAAATATTCTGTTTTTTTTTGTTTTTCTTTTTGTTTTGATCAACGATAATTTATTAATAAGATTGATATTTTTAACCTTTGATCAATACTCCAAACACTTAATTTTAATTATAGCTTGAAAAAAAGGAATCTATCGCTATTAATTAAAATATTAAAATTTCAAAGTTTTTATCATGTTTTTATGTGTATACAGGTAGGTAGGCGTGTGCGCGCGTACGTATATATATATATATATATATATATATATATATATATATATATTAGACAGTGCTGACTTATAGGAAAATAATAATAAGAGTGACATCATTAGGCGGCGTCTAAAAGACAAGAGCTCGAAGGAACATTCGACTCATTCTCAATATATCCGTGTTAAGAGTAGCTATATTAGTAGAATATGCTCGTTTTAGGATTTTCGGACAGATGAGAAAACGCAGAAAGGATTTTCTCCTTTCCAAGGGGACAGTGGAGAAAGTTACTAAATGAAAAGACTCTGTCGATTGAACAAACCGAATATTAGTAAATTCAAATTTTTAGATATTGATGTCTTTCATGAACTTTGCAAGTAATATTTTGTAAAAAGTACTTCCGTTGGCATTTTGCGTCGTTGTTACTTTAAGTTTTGACAATTTATTTTAAAGTATGTGTACATTAAAAAAAATTTGAATAAGACAACTTAGCAAAGAATGTTTACAACGTATAATTGCCAACGGAAATAAAACGTCCACCTAAGAAGCAAGAGTAAGAAAAAAGCTAAACGAATACGAATAAATAGATGTGAGATACGTGTTTTGAGCTTTGTTACCTGCGTTTTCCAAGTTTTGCGATTCTTGTGGTTTGTTATATACATGAGTTCGAATTTTTTAAAATATTGTAGAGATATTGTAAAGAAATATACGAATATGGACACAAGTAATTGAAGTATGTATTAACAACAAAGTAAATGGCACGAAAAAAATTAATGATGTATACGTTGAGAAAAGCGCTGGACGACGAAGGATATTTTAAAACTACCTTGGGAAAAAAATAAACACTGTTCAATGTTAATTTTTTTTTTTTTTTCGTTCTATCGCTAAAAATGCAGGGATGCGTGCACCATACCAGAAAAAAAATGTATAACATGTATAAATTGGGCGTGAAATATGATGTATTCGTAAGCGCAGTGATCGCCATCTCCGTTGGCGTTTCATTTCCCTCAAAGAAGTCTCGCGTGATAACGATTCATTCATCATCATTATTAATGACGATTATTATTAATGATAATAAACAATAACACTATTAATAATAATAATAATAATAATAATAAATGAAAAGTGCAAGTTCCGCGAGGAAATTTTTATGTATCATATATTGATAAATTTCTTTTTTTTCTTAATAATATCTGTATTTCTTTTCTTAGCATGAAGTTACGTTTTATTTACGAGCATACGTATGTTCAAGCGAGTGAGATTTTTTTTTTTTATCGAAGATACAAAAAGATTTACGAAAATTAAATGACATTTCTAGTTATCATTCTTTTCATTTTGATTTTTTTTTTTTCCTTTTTTTTTTCTTTATTCTTGCATCATTTTGTTGAAATCTTAAACAAGACTACACATTTTATTTCTGCGCGCAAATAATGATGATGCAAAGGTTTGTGATTACTGATGATTTCATTGTAATGAAAAAACTATAGAAGTTTATATTCGTTTCTTTTCGTCTTTGTTTATATTTATCTGTTCACCTTTTTTTTTTTTTTTTTTTTATGTTTTTCAGCAAATTTTCTTATGTACAGTACTTTATTTCTCAGGATAAAAAGGGAAAGAAAGAAATGATAAATTCATTTTTTAATAGTCGTTTCGAAATAATTTGCAAGTGATTATCGTAAAAAAGAAATTTTTATTATTTATACGTGGGTATTTTAGTTCCTAAATTGAAACTTAAAATGGCAACATCTGCTTATAAGGACTTCTATCCTCTGTTAATCGTTTAAGAGAGCGGAATAAAATAATTAATAATAATAAAAAAAAAAAAAACCAATATTTTAAAGACAATCTATTACATTTAGTACAAAAAGAATTTCATGAATTGATTGATAGCAAAGGTGTTTAATGCATACACGTTTTGCGTATTATTTTATATTTTCTTATTATACAAATAATGACAATTATGTAAAATTAATTCTAAAAATATTCAATTATATTATTTTATCATTTAAAAATGATTAAAATGCATGTAAAAGTTTTAAAAAATAATGTCAGTAATTAAATTGACGAGAAATGTACTTAGAAGTGTAACAGGACTAA